TTTTTTTTTTTTTTTTTTTTGATAAGACTTATCACTGGTAAATTAACATTATTGCTCCATGGTTTGAACATGGGTTATTGAATCCTGAAGCACAGAGATATAAGAATTCCAGAGACTCTGCCTAGGACCATTTGAGACGCCAACAAAGGAGAGGTCCTCAGAGCCTTGCTTCCAACCAGGTAATTCTCCTGGGGAGCAGAGAGCTTTCTGAGAACATCTGTTCTCCTCTGCCAGTTAATACTTGCACCAGAAATTACAAGTTACAGTTCTAGTAATGTTAATGATGCTTTTTGTTGCTATGTTGTTTGATTTGGTTTGCTCGTGTTCTTTCTTCCCTTATGGTAAAGAGCTTTGCTTTTGGGTTAAATCATCCATTTGCAGTCCAGTAGTTGTGAAACTGGAAAGATAATTTAATCTCTAAGAACATCAACTGTGAGATGTGTAAATGATACCTATAATGCACTCTATCTAGTTCATGGGGTTTTAACAAGATGAGGTAGGCATAAAATAAATTTTGATTAATAAGAAAGATGCTGTACCTCCTTTTCCCCATGCATGACAGATAAATAATACTTATTTATATTTTAAGGGGTTTCAAGAAGTTAAAAATGCCCCACTAATTTTGTGAGGAACGTGCAGCAAAGGAGTACAGCTTTCATGAAATGATAAAAAGTAAAAAGGACAGGGGGTGGAGACATCACAATTTTGCACCTTTGCCCTCTGTCCCCTCCTTTGTTAATACTGAAAAATGTTCACAGATAGATCCAGAGTAGATTTTCCAGGACAATTTCCATCTTGAATATTAAATTACACCATTTCCCCTAAACTTATTATTTGAGAGTTAAACCATGTAATCCTGTGTTTTCATCATAAAATATGATCAAGTACGAAGTCAATGAATTACTTACTTAAATAATTACTTGGCAAAAAACTTTAGAACCCAATTCAATGCTTACACTAAAATAAATCTCAGATAAAAATAGAAGGGAATACAGGTGAATATTTTACCCTACTGCAACAGTGCTGGGCAATCTATCTGAAGTAAATGCCAAAAATTATAAGGGAGACCATACACATAACAATATAATTTTTGAAAGTTTCAGGATGATAAAAAATATATTATGAACAAGAGGGAAATAAAAACAGAAATATTATTAATAACATGTACAAGACATAAATTGCAAAAGGTCTCATAAACCATTAAAAGAAATGGAAAAATATGCAAAGCTGCAAAGTGGAAATTCACAAAAGAAATAAACTAGTCAATATGTTCAACTTCATTAGAAAGTCTAAGATACCAAAAAGTTCTGCTTTAAAATATCACGGTTAAAAATAAAAGACAAAATTAGGTGCTCACTGGGTCTTGGAAAAACCAATACTCCTGAGCACTGTTAGAACGTACGATAAACTCTTTCAGAAGATATTTTAGCAAAGGGTTTCAAGATTACAACATGCAATTTCTGCATCTCTGCAACCCTGTGTAAGTGAATTTATACTAAAGACAATTAAATTTGCATTAAGAAATGCGAATGCTGTGCCGTGGGTTTAGCTCAGTGGTTCCGTTGCCTGCCTCATAAGGGCAGGGACCCAGTTCAGTCCTTGGTACCAAAAAAAAAAAAGAACTGTGAGTACAAGAAAGCTCATTATGGCCTCTTTCTGAGAAACAAAATTGATTTACAAAGCAAATGTTCTAATTTATACAAAACTGTACAGAGACATACATAGAAAAATACTGTTCACATTATCTGTCGGAGATGAAATTTATTTCTTATTTTCTAATTTTGAATCGGTCTTTTGATAATTCTTTATTTTTATAGTGAGGAGAGGATACAGAGCCTTTTTTTTAAGAAAAGGAAAACATTTTGGAAAACATCATCGGAAGAGAAAAAGGAGAGCTAGCACACTGTTAAATCAGAGTAGGGGGTTTCAGAAAGATGGAAGACCCAGAATCCTTTGTTCTCGGATGTTACAAAGTTATTTTCTTTTTTCAAAAAAAATGTTATTAACCAAGTTTAAAAGTGCTGATGTCAGATCGGGCTGTAACTGGTGACAATGAGAAAATGACTTCACACTATCTATTTCAGATTTCCTAACCTGTAAAATGTGAGCACTGGGCCATGTACTCCGTCAGAATCACATTAAAATATTTCATGTTAAGACCTCTTGATTTGATTTTTTTTTTTTAATTTTAGAAAGCCCATCACAATCTCACCTGGGAGGGAGCTAGCCATGGTGACCTTTACTGGTTGTCCTGAGAATAATAGGGATGCACTATCTCATAGTTTAAAAATTTATGCCTCCATTCAGACTATTAAAGTATTGAGAAAAAAATATGTATTGAGCCCACTATAGTAAGGTGCTGGTCCAGAAGGCTTTGTGGGTGAGAATGAAATTTCCTAAATTAAATTTTGCTAATATTTACATTTAACTTGATATTCTCCTCACTATAAGATCTGGATGTAGCTAGGAAAATACATTTTTCTCCCTGTGTAATTTTGAGTCTAAATTCCTGGGTTCTTCTTACTAATATAGATCTGTTCAGATTGCAGATCCAGGAGAATCCAGGAGTTTCAAAGACAAAATTAACGAGGACTCAGCTTCTTGGAGTGGAAGTGCCTGCTGCACTGTCTTCCGGGGAAGAGGAAAATGGCACCCAGAGGCTTGAGGCTGTTCCTCCTGCTGAGCTGGGCAGCCAGCTCCGAAGTCCTGGGTGGTGAGTACGTCACTCAGTGGGGACAAAAACCATGGTCAGTAATCACAAAGTCCGTGTGATGCAGCCATCTCCTTGCCAAAAACCTAAAACAAAACAAACTGAAAACCAACCAAACAACCAAAATCTACTATGTACTGCAGGGAAAAGGTACTGAAGATAGGAATGAAAAACAACATGACGTGTTAGAGTTCAAAGGCCGTAGAATCAAACAAAAGCCAACTGCACAGGAATTGTAAGCCACACTCACATAATCAATCACATTTAAGTTGTAAAATTAATTTTGCAAGTTATTGCAAAGGATAGAGATACAGTTTAAGCCACTTAACACCTAGCCAACTGTCAATAAATGATAGCTATAATCAGAACAACCCAATATTTAGGCACTATTTTCCTATTTGGGGACATCATGAATTGCAGTTTTTCAAGGGATCTATGCACAATCTACTTGGACAAATGGCTCTGACATATAGACAAAGCATCAAGTATAAAGCAGCATCTAATCAAAGTGTAAAGCTTGCTGAATCTGCTGATGGAAAGAACAGAGGAAGAAAACAGGATGCTGAAAATAAGTATCATGGAATATTTGAAATGAAAAGGGATGAAATATATGCTCATCTGATGTTCTACTTTGTGAGGAAAATGAGGCCCAGACAAAGGTAGAAATTTGTCCAAAGTCACACAGCAAAACTAGGTGGTGCTTGGACTCTCTCCTTTTCCTAGATGCCCTTCACATCCCCTGTGGCCTTGCTGGGAGTTGTACAAGGAAGAGTCAGGGATCCTTCTTGAGCATTGGTTCTGTTGATCATACAGGCTCCTAAGGGATTCAGTGGTGTTTGCGACTTAGTGCTTCGCCCACTGGGAAATGTTCTTGGCCAAGAGGAAGGAGATTCAAAGAGAAATAGGCTCTTTGGGCATCATGCTGGCCCCCAGAGATGAAGACTGTGGTCCTTGCCATGGTATATCCTTAGTGTATCCTTGTCCTCTGCGGCTTTCTGCCCTCAGCCCCCCACCCATTTCCAGTTACTGGTTCTCAACCACGTGTTGTTGCACAGGCCTGGGAACTCACCACCGTTTGTGAGCCAAGCAAGGGCGAGCAAAACTCTGAGAGGCTGCCCCGAACCCCTCTTTCAGAACTGCCTCCTGTGGCCATTTCTAGGAGGTCAAGTGGGTTCCTGCTCCTCTGGCGATGAGATGACCTCAGACTTCCTTACAGGGCCTTAGCATTTGCCCACTGATACCCTAGGGAATGACAAGCCAACCTCTGGTTTCTCTCCCAGGAGCAGTAAGAGCTGGTACACTCAGCATGAAGCCTATAACGTCTTACCTTTTTCACAGCTGTAGAAAGACAGTCTGTTTATTCTTATATCTTGGGAGATTTCCCATATAACCTGTCCTATATATTATTTGTGCTATGGCTTATGGAAAAGTCAGTAGAAATATGGAATTGTCCTCTGCAGCTCTCTGCCCTCTGCCCCTGACTTATTCCAGCTATTAGAAGTACAATTCTTAAGTACAAGAATTTAGAAGTTAATTTTCTTTCCTGACAAGACTTGGAGTTCAACATTATGACTCTTATTGCCTCAGCAATGATTTCTCATTTGGCTTATAGCTGCCCTTCTCCGGGAGCAATGCATGCTGTTAATTCAATGGGCGAAGAGTTGTAGAGCAGTAAGCTTTCTGGACAACCAAAAACTTCATTAGGCTAATATTTGCAAAAATACTGCACTAGTTATACTTCATGATGATTTAATAGCTATCCCTTTACCTGGCTACTATTTACTATACTTGGTTCTATATTAATCACTGTGTATGCATTATCCCAGGTAATCCTCCCAGTAATCCTATTAAAAAGGTATATGCTACTAATTCCATTGTACAAATAAGAAAATTTCAGCCAAAGGAGTCTAGGTAACGTTCCCAAACTTACACATCTGCTAAGTCGTGGAGTAGAACAGCTTTTAGAGTAATAGAAGCCACATGCAAGGAGCTGAAACCCTTTGACAGGGCATGCATTGCAATGAGGAGCTCTAGAACCCTGAAAGGTGGGGATGGGGTTCTAAGGCTTTGGGGGAAGCATTGCATCCCACCCTAGATTGCATCCAGTTCCCCGTCTGGTGACTTCAGCTGGCCACAAATCTTTTACAGAAGGTTTCTCTACCTGTACGATGGGGATATCCATCCTTAACTCTCAGGGAGAGTTTGGTAATTAAACAATGAAAGTTAAATAAATCTGGTTGGTCCATCTGGGTTTTAAAACAAATAATTCAAGCATGATGACTGAGATGACTAAGACTGCCTATTTGGAGTCAGACTGTCTGGGGTCAAGTCTTGTCTCCATCACTTCTGTGAGACATGACATGTTCTTTTGCCTTTGTTTCCTCATCTGGAACAAGGAGAAAACATTGGTACCAACTTCATAAGGGTTAATATGGAAATGATTTGAATATAGTAATCTTCCAGGAAGAGTACCCAGTACACAGTCATTGTGTGGAGTAACAGAAAGTGCAGCAGGACTTCAGCAGAGCAACTGCTAGTTGCATTTCCAAGAGCTAAAATGTCTCCACCAGGGTGTGCATAGTACTAATTGTACAAGAGAATGGGAAAGACAGAGAAAGAAGGAAAGTAGAGAGAGAGAGAGAGAGAGAGAGAGAGAGAGAGAGAGAGAGAGTCACAAGAATGACACAGCAAGACACAAGGACAAACAAAAGAAACACAGAATAGAAAGACAGCAAGAGAGAAATTGATACACAGTCAGAAAGGCATGGTGAAGCCCACACAGAGATTTTCAGAGAGGAAGAGAAGTCCTCAAGGAAACAGATACAGAGAAAAAGACAAAGGTGTGGGAGGGTGGAGAAATCACTGTTTGTCTTCTTTGCCTTCAGCCTCTCTGGATTTTTGGTCTTGAGAACTCTGTTGTCACTACCTGGAGTCAGGAGAAATGAAGGCTGTGGTGGTGGAGGATCTATTCTGCTTCATTTGCCCAGAAACTGCCAAGTAGAGTGTTCAAAGCAGTGTTCAAACTGAACTGCACTAGGAGAACCAGGTGTGATGCCAGAGTTCTTTGTCCTTACACTTGGGGGTCAAAGCTTTGGACTCCTCATTACCCCCGCTTTCAGAATATTCTCATGAATATTAAATTAGAAGTCCCCTTTCTTAATGTCTCTCTAGACTTCCCCTTCCTGGAATTTGAGGCCATTTCATTAACTATTCTTTTTGAAATGGTGATCAATGTTTAATCTCCTTAAGAAGATCAGTTTTTATTTTAATATTAGTTTTTACTGTAAGAGTTAAGGATCTCCTTTGCTTTTTTTCCTCCTGTTAAAATAACATATTTATAAACATATAATAAACATATAAATAACATATCCCTACATATTTATAAAATCTAAGGTTACAAGAATTTTTAAGACATAGAACTAAATCTAAATGGCAGTTTTGGGCAGGTGACTCTTAAGTCTGCTTCCTACTTCTCCTAAGTTATTATAATAAAATATGGCATGAATAAATCACTTAGCATAGTAAATGATATTAAGTAAAATATCTTCTGTATGGAAGCTGGTCAATACTGGCAGCAGTAAGAATCGCAATGGCATAAAAGAAAATTTTTATTTAACATAAAATTATGTTCACTTTTCTAAAAGTAACAGGTGAGGCATTTAAATAAGTGCATAACTTTACTGCGTGACTTCAGTATATCTTAGGTACCCCTCAGAACCTTTACTTCTGTCATGGAAGGAACTGGTAAGTGACACACAGAGACAGCAAAGTGGGTAAAACAAAAAACATTCACTTTGCTAGCAAAGGGTCAGCCTGCACCAAGGTCTGTGCCTAATGACTGACCTAGGGCTGGGTTACAATCTGCCTTTTATAAGAGTTTTACAATTATGACCTCATTTTAGGTAATTCGATAAGACCAGTTCCCACAGTTTGCATCACAAATCATGGTCACAAGACAGTTCAATGTTAAGTCAAATATAGCATTTTCTTTCAGAATGTTTATCTTTAGCTATTCCAGTCCACAAGAGTGGGGGTCAGGGTTAGGAATGCAGGACTGGTGACATTCCTTTCATTTTAACTCCTTTATAGTCATATGGTTTACAGAAAGTTTTAGGGCTTAGGGCCTGGCACCATTATCTTAGTTTGAACATCTGGTCTCATCCTGGGATGCAGCTAAAGCACCTTCAGCATCTGTTAACTTTAAACTGGGGCTATGTGCCTGTAAGCTTTAATGGTGAAACCTTGATATTTTGTTAAACAAGCAAAGCAAAGCAAATTACAGAAGCAAAAGACAGTGATTATTCTATATTTTCTTTAACATTTTGTAGGTTTCAGACTATTTACAGACGTTCTCTTTATCACTTCAACTTCTTAGTTGTGTTAGTGATTATCTGTCATAGATAGGTACAGTAAAACATGCAAAGGATCTAAATCTGTAGTGAGCACTGTTTTCTGAGTCAGAGTGGGACTGCTGCATAGGAGGATGTGGCTAGCGGAAACAGTAAGATCAGCCTGAGGAAGTTTTTGGATGCTAACGTGCAGGGAGCTTGTCTGAACACAGTGCAGAGTTGTGGGCAACTTAGAGGCATGGGGGGAACTGGAACAGAAGAGGAAAGCAAGTGTCTGTAGCGCCCCCTGGCAGGAAGAGGAGACTGCTATTACAATGGCGCTGGTCAGTGGACATCCACTGTGGAGGGAAAGAGCCGTGCACCTATCTAAAATGTTGGAGTGTAGCCACATTGTCAGGAACCTTGGACTGCTAGCTTGGCATCCCTTCCTCACCTCTGCACTGCCAGCCGTCTCTCCTTCACAGACTTTCAGACCCAGTGACACGGCCCACTCACCAGCAGATTAGCAGGAAGAACCGAGAATGGTGGCTCTGCTGCTTCTAGGCCTGTCTTACTCCTCTCTACCAAGGTTTCCTGACAGGTTGCTTGTACTTGTGACAAATTTGTGCTTGTTATTTCTGTGCATTCCTTGTATGCTCCTGCCTCCCCTCCCCTTCCCAGCCCATGTCTTTTTCCTAAAATGTCCCTTCTTGCTCCTGATTCAGAGCCCACCTGTGCCCACATTCCAGCCAGGTTTCCCTTAAATCCCGTTCCATATCTCCCTGCCAGAAGGACTGCTTCCTCCTATGAATGCCTAAAACTACCAGTTTATCACTCTGGGCCACTCTTGTGTTGTCTTGAATTATGGTTGTTTGGCCTATGCTACTGACATGGGATTCTGCCAGCTGCTAAGCCCATCTCCTCTAGTTATGCATTCCAGAACTGGAGAAATAACCACAGTTGGTTCACAGAAGGATTCAGTGGATCTACTGTAAGACATTTCTGAGCTAAGACTCCAGTGAACATGTGACCCCCATAATCCCTCCTCTGAAAGCTGGACCACTGTGACATTATAGGTCTCCTGGGATCAGTGTCAGTTGGGAGCCAGTATGCAGCAGCCCAGAAAGCTCTGATTATTTCCTTTTCTCCCAAAGCATAGCCACTCTGGTAAAAGGCCCTTGGTCCCTTTTAGGTAAGTTGGGAGAAAGAGTAATAGTATAAATTTTTAGCAGTGCAGTAAGGTTCTTCCTGAAGGGAAACTTCTTCCCCTTCATTCCAAGGTTCTGGGTCTATAGGCTGTACGTAGTGTGGACATTGATTGGTTTTGCTATTTTCACTTGAAATTGTCTTTCACTAATGCACAGATGTCCTCATGAGACCCAGCTGTGCTGCCGGATGGTTTTACTTCAAGTCCAGTTGCTATGGATACTTTCGGAAGCTGAGGAACTGGGGTGATGCTGAGGTAAGGAATTTGACCAGTTAGCTGCTGTACATCAAGAGGCCAACCAGAGCCCCTGAACATATTTCATTCAGACCAAGGGTCCTTCCTTGGCACTCTGAGGAGAACCTGCCTAGCTGGTGAAAAGCAGAGAAGAGGGTTGTGTGTCCAGCTCACTCAGTCTTGTAAGCACTGATGAAGCAGACACAGCATGCCCAAGCCCGGGTGACTAAGGACATAAGGTTGAGTAAGCAGTAGCCACTGTCCACACGTGCTGGAGATTCATAGATCAAAGGAGGATGAGGGAGATAGGGCCTTGCGGAAAGAGTAATTTAATTCCTCTACAACATTTGCTAGAAAGAGAGTAATATACAGACAGGCATGGAGCAGAGGCCACAGGGCTGCATCATGGAAAGTGCATCAGCCAGGGCTGGGGATTTAGTTCAGTGGCTCAGCCTCCTGCTTCTCAAGTGCAAGGTCCCAAGTTCAATTTGCAGTAGGAAAAAAAAAGAGAAAGAGAGAGAGAAAGAAAACATCAGCCAAACAAATGGGAAGTTCACTGTTCTGCAGATACATAAGTGTATGACATGGGTCCTGTTCACTGAGGCTTTGTCTAAGACATACACTAGCCAGTCTGAGGAAGTAGACAGTCAATGCTGCTTTCTCCGAGCTGTGGTTAACGGACGCGACTGATTAGTGGGAGCGGCGTGAGTGCGATGCCCCAGGCCCAGAGTGGTGTCCAAACCCCTGTGTATAACTCAGCAAAGGGAAAAGGAAAGGCAGGAGTGGAGCGCCTACCACATGATAGCTACTGAGGATTGAAGTGTGAGAAGAAGCAGGTGGTGACATTCAAATAGAAAATCTCTACACAGTACGAGCACGTAGCTTTTCAAAGACTATACTGAGAATACCTAGTAGAGAAAACCTAGGGAAGTCTGCCTTACACAATGCTTTCCTGAGTGGAGTCCCAAGGCGGGGGAACACTAAGCAAGTGGGGTTTCCAGGACTCTGTACACCACTCTGGAAGTACAGTGACTTGTGAAGGTCACATACAGGAAGACCAGGCCCTTCCTCCGACCCTAAACCACTTGCCCTCACTTGCTCTCACTGTGGCCCTTGTCTCCTGTGGTGACAGACATCTCCTGAGGGCTTTAGATCCCACTTTCTAGAGAAGGAGGAGCTGTGTGAGCCCATTCTTCTTAACACGCTAGGTTCCAGGGAGAGGCCCGTCTGCTGAAGCCTCGTGGCATCATTAATAGGACCCTCTCCTTTCTGCAGTTTGAGTGTCAATCATATGGAAATGGAACCCACCTGGCATCTGTCCTGAGTCAAAAGGAAGCTAGCGTCATATCAAAGTACATAAATGGCTATCAAAGATGCCAGCCCGTATGGATTGGCCTGCATAACTCTAAGGTAACCCTGACTGGGCCCGCAAATGCCCCCTGGCAAGGCCAGGAAGAGATCCCCTTTGGGGAAAAGGCTTTCTGGCTTACCTCCATGGAGAATATAATTTAACATAGACCTTCTGCTGAATTAATTTTCTCTTAAATCTTAGAACACAAAATTGCTAATTTTCCAGAGTCTTCCAAAGATAATTGTGTGTGTGTGTGTGTGTGTGTGTGTGTGCGCGCGCACGTGCGCACATGCACAGCCCTGTTATGAGATTCAGATTAAACTCCCATTACATCTTGAATTATAGTTGAAAACTGTCAGCTAATCTTTTTCCTAATGCTGTTAGTCTTTTCATTATCCTTAATTTTTTTCCCACTGGGATCTCATTGTATTTTCCATCACTACCTCATTGTAAGGAGTGGCTGGTTGCTGAGGTCTGCAGTTTCCAGATTCTTTGTGGAGCTTCCAGACTTAACACAGAGAAGACAGGAGGGGTCCCCAGACTTCTGTGCCTTATTAACATTGCTGAAAACACCGCAGATTCATATACTCTCTGTCATGAAGAGTATCTGAGAATGTTTATCTATAAATATCTTCATATTTTTGTCCTCTTGAAAATTACAGAAAAGTTAACAATTTTCTACCATCATTGTTACAAATATTTTATACAGTTACTTGGCTTTTAATGGTATTTATCTGACCACCAGATATTTTACATTTTTGTGTATTGACATCAGAATTAATCAGAACTCTGTCATTCATAGATAGGAGAAATATTTACATCTATTTCTATAAATCTTTTATAGTTTAATTTTTATATTCTTGACTAAGAAAAATAAGTGCACATTCTAAATATTGTACAGTATCTCTAGTAACCAAAGAAATGCAAATTCAAATGATGTTATAATTTGACATATGAGATTATGAAACTGTTACTTTGTCTTAAGGAGTAGTATTTTTAAGGGATGGAGAAATTGTCTTTGTGCCAATTGGTGAGGATATAAAATCATACAATTGAACTGCTTTTGGAAAGACCTTTGACAATGCACATTAATAACCTCATACCTTTTAATCCATTCATCCTACTTCTAGAATTCTATTATCAGGAAATAATTTTAAACACCCAAACAGACTTTTGAACAAATTTGTTCATAGTAATATTGTTATAATAATTTTAAATTAGAAACTATATACCTGTCAATCAATAGGTTGAAATGATCATATAATCTTACCATTGAAGGAAGGTTTACAAAACATGGTATAAAATTGACTACACATTTTAGTGATTATACACTGTTTAGTGCATAAAAGGTACCTATTCATAAAAAGGTTCACACCAAGCCAGGCGTGGTAGTGCAGCCTGTAATCCCATCACCCTGGAAGGCTGGATCCAGGAGCATTCTGAGTTTGAGCCCAGCCTGAGCTATTTAGCTGTCTCAAAAGCAAGAGTGGGGCCAGGAAAGTAGCATAGTGGCTGTAACCCTGGGTTCAATCCCCAGTAACACCTCCCTCCAAATTTATACCAGAAGTAGATAAGCTAAAATATCTGTAATTTTTCTGCTTAGTCCTTGCATGGGTATCCTTTCTAATTCTTGTTCTTTGTCACATAGCTGCCTTTTCTCCATTTTCACAATGAAAAGTCCACTTTGAGGAGCTGAGGGACTGTGGTGGCTGTGGGCAGGTGAGCCAATTGATCTGCACAGTTCTCTCAACTCCTGTCATTGTAGGATCAGCAGTGGCAGTGGCTGGACGGGGCCACATACCTGTACAGGTCCTGGAGTGGCCGGTCCTCCGGTGAGAACGAGCACTGTGGTGAGATGAGCTACGAGAAAAGTAAGTTCTCACACACCCCTTTCCCTCCTCCCAAATCTCAGCCCCTTCCTTTCAGCTGTTAGGAGCAAACTAGACATACTCGCCCTCCTTGCCCCACTTTGCTTTTTATACCAGCAACTCTGTCCTTCTAGGGGACAATGACCTTCTCACAGACAATGTTTACCAAGCGTCGGTGGTCTATAACCACTTAGGCATCTCTGCTCTCATAATATACTAGCTGTTCCATTATGTCTCTATATCTTCTATAAATCCACTCACTTTTTCTTACATCTATTTATATTAAGATAGTATTGTACACTATGATGGGACATGTGTTCCATTTGGGAAAGCTCAGGCTGGAAAGGGTAAATATGTGTAGTGAAGTCAGATGAATCCTCTTGACTTTGAAATTAAAGTTCTGCATGAGCCCTTGAAGCCCAAGGCTTAGCCTGGTTTCTTCCCTCTTGTTGGGTTCTCTGAGTCCTGTCCCCAGACTGCAGTGATCAGAAGCTCAGTGCAGTCTAAATGTGGTTAGTCACTTGGCCTCCTTCTTTCCTTTGTTTGCTTTCATTTTTTGCACTTTATTAAGCTGATAAATTAAGGTTTTCAATCTGGCCTCCAATGGGATTATGAAATGGATTATTTTTTAGTGGGAGAATTACCCTATACATTGTGGGAAGTTTAGCAGCATCCCTGATCTCTACTCCCTAGATTTCAGTACCACTCCCGTCCCTGGTTGTAGCAACTAAAAGTATCTCCAGATACTGCCAATGCCATTGAGACACACCAGCCAGCCATTGAGAAGCACAGCTCATAAGTGAGTAGAAGAATTTATCTGTAAAACAAGAACACAGACTGTTAAGATGAAGAGGTCCTTGATGTACACTGGAGGATATCTCAGTGAGTGTGAAAGGCCATCTTGGCGACACTGGATTTGTCTGCTAACCAAGAGGGGTGCTAGTACAGGGACTAACCTAAGGACTCAGGAACTGGGTCCATGGTAGAAATGGACCAGCTACTCCAGTTGACTATTGTGTGAGGAATGGAGCTTGTAAGAAGAAAAGGGGAGAGAGGAAACTTTCTAACAGCAAGGGGAGATGGGTGGACAGGAGGAGCTAAACTGAAGAAGACCTTCAAGACAAAGAGCTGAAAGGATTTTCACAGACCAGCAGAGACCACACTGATGTTGGCCAAGTCGTGAGTCAATTCAGCTGTAAGGAACGCTGCCAGGACCCATAGATAAAAACTCGCAGTGGGTGGGTGTGTCTGCCTAGGTTAAGGAAAAGACTGTGAACAGTTAGCACTATCCAAATACATAATGGGCTACCCCAGAAAGTAGCCAGAAGCCTATCACTAGACTAACCCTACAAAGGTAGACTTTGTAGTTTTGTTTGTTTGTTTTTGCAGTTCTGAGGATTGACTTAACTGAGGGCCTTTGTACTGAGCTACATCCCCAGGCAATTAAATTTTTTTAAGGCCATTCTGACTACCTAGCAACACCTTATCTCAAAAAACCAAAAATAAGTAAAATAAAATACACAAAAATTTTGTTTTTATTTTTGAGATAAGGTCTCAGTATGCTGCTAAATTGCCCATTTGGGGTTGGCTTTGTGATCCTCCTGCCTCAGCCTTCCAGAGCGCTGGTGTTTACACCATGCCAGACTGACATTGCAGTTTTTACTGTAGCTGAACCATTGAAAATGTTATAAGACTCAAAGGTACAACAAGGCTGACTGGGGAACATTTAAAAATATATAAATCCCAATGATTCACTTCAGACCAACAACGTGAGACTTGCCGGGCAGAAAGCAGATTAGCTTTTAGGAAGAAGCAGACTGGATGCCTCCCAAAGTCCTTCCCATCCCAGTGATTCCAAAGTTTCCTCTGGACAAAGTTCTCAGACAAAAATCTTTTCCCTGTCAGTCTGTGATCAGATCAGCACAGTGAAGTAGCTTGTGTTGTATTCATGGAAACCAGATGGTTGATGGCCGCTTGAGAGCCCAACTCTGCCCAGTTTTGCTCACCAGCTCACCGGTATTAGAATGTGGGCTCTCAAGGCAGAAAACCACCAGGAAGGAAGCCAGGATTAGAGACAAACTGGAGGAGGGTAGAATTTAATGGAACCTCAGCCTCGGCCCTATCAGTGTTATTGTATATTTGCAGAATGGAGGGAGGATGTGGGGATGATTGTTTTTTCTCCAAAGTCTGCAGCTGAGCTCTAACAAAGTTTCTGCTCAATTTTTTCTTTAAAATTCAAAAGGTCTAATATCGCTGCCCAACATACAATCCCACATGTACTCTTCTGTCTGCCACAGGGAGTGTTCCCTTTTAATTTCCTGTTAAAAAGTATTTTATTCTGTGGGTCCTTCTCCTACTTTCTGGAACTCTGCTTTATACTCCAATGTGACTTTTGGGATTCACCATGTTTCTTGACTTACCACTGGTTCACTTTGAGACATTTAATAATGACCAGGGTTTGGTAGTTTAAGAAGACATTTCATGCTCAATCTAGTTTGTGGTAGAATTTCTAGCTTCTCCACTTAACTTCGTCAGTGTGACTGTCTGTAGATTTCTTACTTCTCTGTGATGCCTTTCTATGAAAAGAGAGAAATAACTGTTCCAGTGATCCTCGTGCATGTGAAGTGCTTCCTTCCAGAGGGGAATCAGGGAGGAGAGGGAACAAAGATAGTGGTCTGTGTGGGTGCCTGGGGGCAAGCCGGACTTCTCCTGGGTTGCTCTGAGAATGGAACCTTGAAGAAACCATCCAAGAGAAACTCAGGCCCAAGCAGCACTCTAAGGAGTGATGATGCAGAGAAGACTCAACAAGACTCACTCTCATGAAGGATCCAGACTACAGAAACAACATTGGGCATATCCTTTTGGTTTTCACACAGTGAAGTGTCTAGCAATTCTGTGGTCCCCAGTTCATTGACATTGTGTGGCTCCAGCTCTGGGGCCCATGGATGAGAGCATGGATAGCTCCATCCTCTACACCTACTGAGAACTAGAATCTCTCCATACACACTCAGCATACACTGGCCACAGGACCAGATCTGTAGGTCAGAGTCCAAGTGAACACCTGATCAGGGAAGGACTACTTGCTCTGCTGCAGCCAACCCAGAATGACACATAACTCTGAGGAACTTGGTTTTGGGGAGGGAAATAGTTGGGCCTCTCCTTTAAAAATATTCCTGTCCTTCCAAAGGCCACCTTTTCCTGGCTCAACCCTTCTTTATAAATAGGTGGCCTGTTGGAACATCACTGACTTCAATTGCTTTTAGGTCTTTGAACTTTGAGCAGGAACTTGTTAGAGCTCAGTTGTGGACTTTAGGAAGAATCATCCCCAGACTCTCCATGAAACCTGTTTCAAACACAAGAGAGTCCCTCATCTTCAGTAGATTCATGTCAAGCCCCATCTTCCTCCAAAGTATGTTGGAGTGGAACTTCTGCAACTGGGCATGATCTCTAAATGATTTTTCTTCCTATTAGTGAAGGTAGAATTTGTATTATCTGGTTTCTCCAGAGAAACAGAAACAACAGGATGAGGTGAGAGGGGAGGAAATTGGTTTTGACAATTGGTTCATGCAATTGTGGACTGGCTAGTCTAAAGTCCACAGGGCAAGCCAGCAGGCTGGAAATTCCTGGAAGAGCTGATGTTGTAGTCATGAGTTCAAAAGCAGAATGAAAGCATAATCTTTGCTGCTTTAAGGGACCACAGACTTTTCCCTTAAGGCCTCCAACTCATTAGATGAGGCCCACTTCATCTAATATATAATAGAAAACAATCTGCTGTACTCAAAGTCTGCTGATGCAAAGGTCAACCATATCTAAAAAATACCTTCACAGCAGGATCTAGACTGCTAGAAAACCAGCAACTACTAGACCTCTAAACCGAACAACTGGGTAGCATAACTAGCCATATGGCTACACAACATAACTATCACTTTATCTTATCCAGGACTCCAAGAAAAATACACAGGTAACTCTGGCAAGTTCAGTACTCAACTGAATGGATTTAAATATTTGTTTATTTTCTTACAGACTTTTTAGCTTGGAACAAAAATGACTGCAACAAGAGCCAACACTTCCTGTGCAAATATCGACCATAAAGCAAGAATCAAGATTCTGCCAACCCTTGTACCAGCCTCTTTCCTGATACCAGCTACTTTGCCACGCTGGCAAAATCCAATCATTACCCCAGAAAGTAAACATAGCAGAAGATAATGATGAGGCCTCTATTCTACTGACTTTGATAGGCTTGGAGATGAGCTCTCAGCCTTGGTGTGCTAGTGGCTTGTAATGTTGTCTTCACCCCACAGTCCCTTCCATCATAGTCTTTCCTCCTGCCATCTCAGCTGTCTCAAGCAGACCAGAAGTGAATGTCCCTACCTGATGAAACAGCTGTGTCTTGGCCATAGGAGTAAAGGTTTGAAAGCAGGACACAAACATCCAAGAATGAGTTTCTACCCCCTTCCGCTTCTGCTCCTTATGCCTTCTCTCTCTTGCCCACATCCTCTCCTCAGCCACTTGTCAATTCCTCTTTTTACCATGGAAAAATCCACCCATAGAGTCCTTATTATGCTGAAAGAGATCATCAAATTCATACAATAAATAAGTATATCCTTAGGGGGTTGCTGTGTTCCAATCCAGAAGCAGAAAGGTGAAACAAGCCTCAGAAATACACTCATCTTTCTCCTCCCAGGTTCTGCTCCTGCCTTCCCAGCAGTGGCCTTGTTTTGAACAGAGGAGAGAGGAAGGTGACATGCTTGCCAACCTCAGAGAAGGGTTGAACGACTGAGGTCTTATATAATTATGAATATTTCTCCACTTGTGAGAGGGGATGGCAGTCACAGCTGGTGTAATGTCTGACCTGAGCCCCGGGAATCATCCCTCCCTGCCATCAAAAGCCTTGCTCAGTTCTCTGAGATTCAAGGTTCTTGTGTGGCCTATTGTGTGGCTTGCTAATCCACACAAAGTGGCTCATGCCTGTAACCCTAGCACTTAGGAGGCTGAGTTGGGAGGATCGCCAAAAATTCAAAGCCATCCTGGGCTGCATAATGAGACCCAGTCTCATCATAAAACAAAAAAACTTATCCGCTCTAATAATGAGAGGGTTATCGTGCCCTGAAACAAATGTATGTCCCTCAAGGTCATGAAATACAGAGCAAAGAAAGAGGAAACAATAAGGACTTGATGATTACAGAAAGCATGGCACTGGCACGATCACATTCACATTTCATAGAGAGCTAAGCTACTCGAGAGGAGAGACCAGACAGCTGTGCCATGTAGTCAGGCTGAGTGCACAGCCTGAAGGAGAAAGCATCACTTCCTCCACTGTGAGGCCAACCAGTAAACACACGAGGTCTTCCTCCCTAATCTCCCTTACCACGTCAGCCCTCTAAGAAAGACTGGCTGTTGAGTGCTGGCTGGAGGAATGGCTCAGTAAAGAAAGGGAGGAACAGAGCAACTCTTTTGGTTGTGAAAGAGGAAAACCTCGGAAACAATGTAATACAGCTCCTTGTGCACTGAAAAATTAATCAACGCAAAAGATAAATCTCATAATAATGAGATTTCAGCTGAGATGAAAATGAGTGATGAGGCAGGTGAAAATGAGCCATTCTTTTGAAGACTATCATCAGTTTCCACAGAATAGCAACCACCGACTCCTAAGAGGATTCTAGGTAAGTCTGTGCTGGAACAAGAAATGCAAGTGTCAGATCCCTAGATAAAAAAACAAACAAACAAACAAACAACCTCATGATGGCAAAGCAGAGATGAACAAAATGAGAATGTAAATAGCTATAGATAGTAGCTATACCAAAAACACCCATGACCACATTAATACAGTCTTGGTGATGTAATAACAAAACACTTCTTGCAATTGAAAAGGCCAGTAAACCATATGTATACACATGCAGATGGGACTTTGTGACATTCCCAAGCCTGGATGAGTAGTCACTGACCTAATTGGAGGGCTAGGCAGGGTTCCACCTCACAGGTAAAGTGTTTGCCTAGCATGTTTGAAGCCCTGGTTTCAATCTCCACCACAGAAAAAGAAAAGAAAGAAACACAGACACATCCACAGAACTAACAATTCTTTATGATTCACCAAGTAGTTGTATTAGTTGATAAATCTTTATTGAATAAAAACCATGGGCCAGGAACTCACTTTAGGGAATTAGGAATCCATCAGTGAACAAAACAGATGAACTTTTTTGCCATCACAGACCATGTAGTGTATTTTAGCAGGATGTGGGAATGGAGGCTGACAAACAATAAACCAAGTAAAGAATGCAATATAAGAAGATGACAAGTGCAATAGTAAAAATATAAGGCCAACAGGGGGCTCAAGGAATAGGACTGTGTCGGCTGTGTATGCCATAGGGAGGTTGCATCGTTATTACAGCTAACAACCAGATAATCTCAAACAACAAAAGAAGAGGGTTTATTGGTTTATGATACACCACAATCTATAAGTAGATTTGAGCTTCAGGATAACTTAACCAACGGCTCAACAAAGTCAACAAAGTAGGATTTTTCTCTCTTCAGTTTGGAGCCATTGTGCTGGGAATTGGTTTCATTATCAGTTTCCTCTCTGTGTAAGATGGCTGCAGCAGATACAGCCCTCACTTCTACCTGGAAAGAAATCCACACCTCTCAGAGAAAAGTCTCCGGATGAATGAAGCTGATTGGCCAAGAACAGCCTGACACGAGTTACATGTTCATTATTCAACCAATTACTAGGGCCAGGAGGATGGAATGTGATAATTAACTTAGCTGATTTATATCACCTGTATCCTCTCTAGAGCTTGGGGGTTTGCTCATCTTCACCTGAGAGGACACCAGTACCCCATACAGTGCAATGGTAGAAATTTTTCAAAGGTCACTACAGGACCAAATAAGGTCACCATGAGAAGACACAGCCCTATGAGCTCACAGGACCAAAGCAGGTTGGATTTTAGCTACTACTTACCTCCTCGGCTGTGTACGAAAACTACACAGCCCAACGCAGTAACTGTGCTGATGTCCATGGGCTGGGGGCAGGACAGGGTAAATATTTGTCCAGGGGGCCAGGGCCGTCCTTTGAGAAATTTTATCCTTAGACTCCACCACAGGACTCTTGAATCTGGAGTCTGAGCAGAATGCAGAAACACCTAGTGTGAGGAAGACCACATTCTCTTCAGCAGGTACCACTCCTGAGCTGTGCCAACATACGCCAGACTCCAGCCGTGGTCTCTTTGTTATGGTGGGAAGAGCAAAGGGCTTGAAATTTAGCTACTCTGGATCTAACAGCCCCAAACTTTGCCTTACTGTTGCATCTTGTGCAGTGCTTTGCTTGTCTCGCACAAGTTCCTGGAAACCTGGCCAGGGACTCTATCACCCATTACTATTGAGAAAACCAGTAGCAAACTCCTCAAAACGCTCCCGTGGAGCTCAAGATGTACATGGGCCGTGGTTTGAGGAGGGTGATTCCATTTACGTTCCTAAGGTTCATCTCTAGAGTCTCTTCCTTCACATCTGAAGACAAGGAAAAACCATGAGCTTTGTTGCCAAACACATTTCATAAATAACGGCTGTATGGCTTTGATGGCCTCACACAACCTCTCGGAGGCTGCTCTCCCATCTGTAAAGTGGAAAACTCTATGGCTTTTTCTTTCCTTTTTTGGTACTGGGGTTCGAACTCAGGACCTTGCACTTGCGAGGCAGGCAGCAGAACCACTGAAGTAAATCCCCAGCCCATATGGATTTTAAAAAGTTATCCAACCGGACTTAATGATATTGTCGAGGCAGATATTAAACTGGAGCATAGTGACAACCAGACACAGAGACTCCTATAGTAAATACGCCAGTTTAAGGAAACACATTTGAATAGCTGCTCTCAGTATTTTGAGACTGCCACAGGCAGTCATTACTCAGGGATGAGGATTTAGCAGAACCTTTGAGACTTGATTGAAATTCCTGAGAGTCTGAGGCAAATGTGGTAAGAGAGAGGCGTGGATCACCTGTCCCGGCAGTTCCAGCAGGCAGGTCTAGCTCCCGGGCCCAGGGTGGGGATCAGTCTAGCTGTGGCTCGCTCTGCAAACTCCCAGGAAGTTGCTCTCACATCGTAGGGGTTGTGCTTCAGGAAACAGGCTGAGCATGAGACGGGAGCCTGCCGAGGGCCGAGCATGGAGCCCAAACATGGCCAGCCTGGGCCAGAAGTTCCTTTTCCTTGGAACAGGCAGAGCAAAATGTAAACTTAAAAGTCTAAATAGTCTTTTGTGGGAGGCAGGTGGCTTCTTTCAGCTTCCCTAGGCCTGGGGTATGGCAGCCCGCCTTGAGATGCTGGCCCCAGGCGGTGAAGGTCACCTGTCCTTTCCACAGGAAGGGACACAGCAGCCTGGAGATTTGTATTGTCTCATTCTAGTCCTCTTCCCCTCTGCTCCTTTCTATAAAAGGTTCCTGCAAACGTGGACAAAGTGAGATGGTGATTTGTGGCAAGATGGGGGCCTTCTATCTCCTTGGAGCTGGCTTTCAATAAAGCATTTTTCCTTTTCACCAGAAACGGCCTCCTTTGGTTTGTTTGGGAGAAGTGAGCAAACAGCCCTGAGCAGCTGTACCTGGGCACCCTCTGAGAGTTAAATAGAGCATCCGAGAGCAACAGCAACCGCAGTCCAGTATATAGGAGAGCAGCTGCGAATGATTTGTGTGCCGGAGGGGTGGAGAATACCTGGGGTTATAATGGGATGGATTTAACGTGGTCCTACTTGAAGACTTTAAATAGAGTAAATGTAAAATGGTTTGCAAATGTATTCACAGGGAAGATGAGTTTAGCTTTATTAGGATATGAATTTTTCTGACTTCCAGTGTGTTAACAGAGGAGGAAAATCACTACCGAGCATTTTTGTTTTGTTTTGTTTTGTTTTTAGAACTTAGCTTCATCTGAATTTCTCAGAAGATGATACCTCTCCTTGGGGCATGAATGAACATTGTAGTGGCCAAAGTTACTAAAGCAGGCTTGCTGCTCAAACTGGGGACAGCCAGCAGAGATGGAAGCTGGTCCGTGGACAATCAAGGGAACGCTCCATTCAACTGGATTGAAAAGCTGAGATGCCAGAAGAATCCTGCGCACACTGGTCCCCCAGGGAAGAAATCCTGGACCCATAACTGGAAAAAGTGTTCACATGTCAGATAAAGCAAGTACTAGGAAGGAAAAACAAGAGGAGGCCAACAGGGTGTGCTCCAGGTATTACAGACAGAGAAGTTAGGTAAAAGTATTATAGGCAGTCAGGCAGGGCTAGGTCCTCAAGGGAATCAGTGCAGGAGAGGAGAACATACTACAAGTGTGATGAGAGGGGTCTCCGTTGAAGGCCAGGCCTCAAGATAAAGATAGAATGACCAGGCCTACATACCCCTCCAAAGCGTAAGCAATGCATTGAAGATTATACTGTGATTGCTATCACCTGGTCCAATAAAATCTCAATAGCCATCAGTCACCCCAGTGGGTGACCAGGACCTCTGGA